TTTCTTAAGGAATAAAGAAATCATATGGAAACTTTTATATGGGATTACCAAGAATCACAACACAAACAAACAAACAAAAAGACAAAACTGACAAGTTAGCAAAAAATAACACGTTTGGAATAAACCTCCATAACAATTCAGAGACCCAGATGTGCAGTAGGTCAATCATTTCATCTAGTGAGTATAAATTACTATACTGATATTTAATTAGTTATGTGAGACAATAAAACAAAAGTTTTAGTGCATTCAATTTAAGAAAAACAAAAACAATATATTAAACACCAATAATGACTTTAGAACGACCCTCTCAATGTCACACTGGAAGATCTGTAAGTGTTCATATTTGAAATCGCAAATAAAACAAAGTTATCTTACTTCTATCCTTATCCTTGCCGACATTTAAATGTACTTTAGTGATGACGTGAGCTCCACACCAGTATATCCCAGAATCCTCTTCTCTCAGATCAGTGATGTTCACAGTAAAGACTCCAGTAGATGCTTCATCACTGAAAGAGAATCGATCATCTCTGATCGTCTCCAATGAAACTCCATCCTTCACACACATGGAGGCTTCATGTGCTTTGCAGAAGCTATTCTGATCTTCATCATGATGTATGCACTGGATTGACACGTCGTCTCCTTCATACTTACATCCAAACTCCACATAAATAAACTCCTCCATCATCTGGTGTCACAGGAGAAATAACCACAGTCATGAGTCGTTGATTTCTTTTATCAGACAAACTGAACCTTACATTGTTTCTCCGTGTGCTGTTTATCATCTCATCAATGGAGTCTTTTCTTTCTTTGAAGATGATCTTGTAATAATAAATATGATTCCGTGAATATTCACAGTTGAAGGTGGCAGTTAGTCCCTTATTCACCTCCAGTGTCTTTGCCACGTTACAGCAAGAATCTGTCATTTACATAAGAGAACATATTTATCGAATGTGCATGTGAGATTTTTTTGTTCAGTAGTTTTGAGGAGGGTACTGGGCTGGATATACCGTTAAATAGGATGTCTCTGTGTGAATCTCTCTGTCTCTACATCTGTCTGCTTTAGTTACTTCCTCTTTATTCAGCTCTTTATCAGTAATGAGCAGCTTTACTGGCTCCTCCCACCATCACCACTGACTGAACATCACATTAATCACACTGAAAGAGCGCCACCTAGTGCAGTTACACTGTTTGATACTGAGAGCTCAAACAGTTTTCATGTTCTCGATATAAGGACAAATGACACAGAATCAATTTGATTGCATTATTGAAATCTTTCATTAGAGGACGCCAGTATAATTTACATCAGTGGTTCTCAAACCTGTCCTGGAGGACCCCCAGCATTGCACATTTTCAATTCAAGTTTATTTGTATAGCGCTTTTCACGATACAAATCATTGCAAAGCAACTTTACAGCAAATTAATTTTCTACAATATTTAGTGGTAGTTGAGTATCATCAGCATAACAGTGGAAACTAATCCCGTATTTTCTGATAATATTACCAAGGGGCAACATGTATATTGCAAATAGCAGAGGACCTAGGACAGATCCTTGTGGCACTCCATATTTTACTGGTGATAATTGAGATGACTCCCCATTTAAATGAACACAATGGTAGCGATCGGACAGGTAGGATCTAAACCATCTTAAAGCCTGCCCTTGAATACCTGTATAGTTTTGTAATCGATCTATGAGTATGTCATGATCTATAGTGTTGAACGCAGCACTAAGATCAAGTAAAACTAGCAATGAGATACAGCCTTGGTCCGACGCAAGAAGCATCAGACATTTTGTATGTCTCCATCATCTATCACACCTGATTCAACTCATCAGCTCATTAGTGGAGACTGCAAGACCTGAAGAGGGTGTGTCAGATATAGGAAAACATACAAAATGTGCAGTGCTGGGGGTACTTCATGGACAGGTTTGAGAACCACTGATTAACATGTAAACAGTCTGGAGGGCCTCCGTGAACTTAAATTGCAGCTTCAAGATTAAAATCATTTAAATAAATTAAAACAACAAAACATGATGAAAATGCTAAAAATGCAAGATATAGTACAAAATATAACACATACAACTAACATAATTCATACATCAGGAAATGTGTTGAATCACAAAGGCTGATCCACTCTCATAAAGAACATCATGAGCGACTTCATGTCTTTATTAAATAGCATTATCTTTCAGTGTCTCTGGGAAATCAAAAATGCATCTGATACTTTTGTTTTGACATTTATACTTTGAGATTTTGACATCTTTCTCAGCTGTAAGAAACCGCTCGGTTTTAGGTGGAAACATTTGATCTGACTTGCAGGATAAATACTTTATGTCTATAAAAAAAAATATGTATCTATATTTTCAGCGTCACTGATGACGGTTTAACAACACGATCTGGACAAAGAGCGAAATGCTGAGACTTAAGTTCATCTGCTTCCTTTCCATAATCTTTAACTTTTGTTTTAAAAACATCTTCATGAACGTTGAGCCCATGTAATTATCAAATATGAAGCCAGAGTGTCATTCCTCCAGATTGACTCTCATTTGAAACTCATGTAAATTAGTGTGATTTATAATTCCTCAAAACAGAACATAAACATGCACCATCAACTACCATAACATACTGAAAGATCATTTCAGCAAAACCAAGAAATTTAACAGATATGAATCCATATTTACCATTAGATGGAGCCAGAGGTTTCAATGAGACATTTGTGTTCATGTTTACAATCTCAGTCAAGCAGCGCCATATAAGGAGAAAGGGGAGGAGTCGAAACTGCGCCTAAATCTCATTGGCTCTCGCGTGTATCGTCGTCGTGCCGTATTTCAATATTCAGAATCTAAAATAAGAACTAAAGGCAGAGCCAGACACAGATGCAAATACATTATGAATCGTTTACACTTTTTTTTTTTTTATGTAGGTTTATGTTATTTAATCACAGAACAAAGTTGAATGCCAATACAAAATATAGCTGCAAAATATATTCAGCAAATGGGTCTGAACTGTTGGACTTCTATAGTATTAGAAAAACAATCAGACATTATGTACACTTATTTATGACTGCAGTGGGTTGGACTTATTAACAAAAATTGTTTTGAAATGGTACTTTCCTCTGGAAGACCGGACTAAAACCTTCTGAAGTGAGAGTTGGGGTATATTATAACTACTTTTATCTTTCATATATTAAACAAATTGACAGCATCTTTTTGCGGAGTGGAAAGTTTGTGTCCATCTTTACTCAAGAAACCATTTCCTGTTTTTATCATACCTGCGGATGTCTGAAGGGCTTCTCGGTTTGACCCACAGAAGATAAATAGAGCAAAAGAAAACCACAAGCTGGAGAGCCTCTCATGTTGATGAACTTTATCACACTGACCACAGTATTAAACAACCCTGCAAACCCAAAGCACTGAGACGTTTACAAGCAAGTCACTTTATGCTAGTAATGAAAAAAAGAGGGTTAAGACATTTTTCTGAAATTACACTTGTGATTTTAAAATTGCTAACAAAGTCAAACTTATGTTTGGTCTTTAAAAAAAAATCTTGAAAACGTTCAACTGTACAGACTCATGCAGTATTTTCACCGTTTCTCCCTCATAATATCACAGCACAACACCAGAAACTGACATTTCACATTAATGCTGAATTCAGAAAAGCAAACTAGCATATTATTCTTACTGCCATAAAGAGATGCATTATTATGCTTTGACTTTGCCTAGAGAGATAATAATGATCATTAAAATGAAAATGCTTAATTTACCAACTTAAACAACACAATGTCTGTCAGTCTCTGTTATTGATTTGTGGGCTCATTGTTTTGATTTTGTTTGACCTGTTTATGAAGGTAAAACTGTCAAATCAAACATGACTAATTTGTTGATCATAAAAAGTTTTTCAGGTTTTGTTGAAGGTGAATCACTGAATGATCAGCTCTTAGTATTTATTGTCTTCTGCTCACAATAAATGTTCATCTTCTGTCTCTCTGTGTTCATGTGTCTCGCTGTGGGTTTCCTGAATAAAGCTGTTTAATCTTCACACTCAAACTAAACTGAGACCCTGAACCTTCACCGGTTTTCAGTGGCTTTGAAATGGACGGAAAAATGGCCTGTTTATCACACAAACACAAAAAACACCTCCAGCATTTGTGAGAATCTTTGAGGAAAAAAAAAAAATTAATCACAGATTAAAAATGTAATTTTCAGGTCTTTGAATATCATAATAACAATAAATAGTTTTAAAAAATAAAATTACTTTTCAGACGGAAGCTGGTTTGTAAACTTGGAGTATTGTTGTCTATGAAAAATAAAATAAACACGACTGGAGAAAGTATTTAGAAATCACTGGAATTGAAATGTGAGTATAAATGAATTATTTGCACAGCCTTACTGGGCTCAACAAAATAACTTTCATCCATTGAAACATGTTTGAAAATAGCCATTATTTTGTGATTCTGTTTAATGATGCATTAGAAAAAATATACACTTTATCTCAGAAAATAATATTTTTTACCTTAGATTACATCTAGATGTGGAAGAAAAAAGTAAATGATATATATATATATCTGTGTGTGTGTGTGTGTAATGCAATCAATGCTGATTCAAAGCAGCTTTAGAGAAATTCGTCTGTTAATGTCTTAACCTTAAGAGGAACCAGAATCCTCTGACATTACAATCAGTCTGCATATGCTAAATATAAAATGTTTACACTGTCCGTGTCTCATTTGGTGCTCAATGTTAGTTTTGTACATTGTGAATGATCCATATCTTTAAATTAATTTATTACACACATTCTCTGCTGTGGCTCGTCAGACAGTGAGATGATTGACAGCAGCGTATTCACTGCAATCCTGATTATTCCTCAAACTGACTCTGTCAGGACAGTCCGCTTTCTTGTGGAAATTCACCACGGCGTAATTCATATCCGCAGCAGATATCTGAGAGTCACCAGTGGGTTCAGAAGAATCAGAGGGGTTTGTGGGTAATTGTTTGTGGGCGTCTTTAATCTCCTTGTAATCGCAGCCAGCGTGGGAAACCTATAATAATAATGTGAATATTTAATCATTTTAACAGCACTGGAGATTTTCAGTGCTTAAAACATAAGGTAACATAATTCATTCCTATTATTGATAAAACAAGTAATATTTTCCAATCACAGTAATCCTACTAACCGCTGCACTGTTTGCTGGTGTCGAGTGAGATCTTTTGGATGAGGAATCAGCGTCTGTCAAAGACAAGCATGGGTGTGGCCATACCTCAAAGGAGGACTGTGTCATGGTGAAAGGTAGAAAACCCTTCAACATAAGACATTTCTAAATTATAAGGTTGCTCACTAAATGGAAACAAATATTATTGGGACAGTTCCTGCTTTGTTTGTTACTAGAGTTAACAGCTGTCAAAGAAAAACAAATACATTTTTTTTTTTTTTTTTTTACATTCTCATATTATTCTGTTTTGCTCATTTTTAGTTGTAGCCAATAAAGTCATAATATATATATATATATATATATATATATATAAGTCAAACATCACTATGATTGATAATGTGTCAGTTTGAGCAATGTGGAAAAATAGACGATGTCTTTCAAAGAAACTAAAAGAGTGTAAGTATGTAAAGGAGCAGGAGTGTTACTGTGTGACTGACGCCTCCTCCAGAAAGTCACGATCACGAACAGAATCACACTGATGATCAGAAGCAGAAGCACAGACACACTGATGATCAGAGAAGAGCCTGAAAACACCAGAGATTTACCATCATAATAACAGATGCACTGTAAAAAAAAAATTCCGTAAAATTTACGGTAAAAAAACGGCAGCTGTGGTTCCCGGAATTTGACCGTAAAAAATACGGTAGAAACATTTTAGGTTTTACGGTTTTAACTTAAATGTACGATTAAATACCGTAATTTCTGAATGAAATAAAAACTGAAATAATGTAAATTTACGGTAAAAAACCGGCAGCTGTGGTTGCCGGAATTTTACCGTAAAAAATACGGTAGCAACGTTTTAGGTTTTATGGTTTTAACTTGAATTTACAGTTAAATACCGTAATTTCTTTAACTGATATAATGTTAATATACCAACCTTATTGAAGTACTGAAATCTGTTTTGTACCTTTGTAATACACTGAAAACCACCAAATGCAGGTGGTGATGAGAGAGTCACATGATGAACTAAAGCCCATCACAAGCAGCATTTAAATAATAACATATATAGAAGGTGCACGTCATTCACACAAACACTAAACACCATCATGGTAACACACATGAAACTGAAATAATGCAATAAACATTAATTTAACAACATCAGGTGTAACACACAACCCTAATGTACACAACAGATAAGAAAAAACTAAGAAGAGACAGTTATTTCAACATAAAAACATCAAATTTGAAATGTAACGCAGGGAATTCTGGGAATGTCAATTTACGGTTATTCACTGTAAATTATACAGTCTTTTTCACTTCCAAAAACGGTATACTACCGTAAAATTAATGTCCAATACATGTAATGTCCAATACAGTTTTTCACCGTTTTCCACTTCCAAAAACGGTATACTACCGTAAAATTGTAAGTAATGTTCAATACAGTTTTTTACTGTATATAGTAGGGGAATTTACCGTTAACCATTTAACAGGTTTTTACTGTAGCATTTTTACAGTCTTTTACCATTAAATTCACGGTCATTTTTTACAGTGTAGGCATGAGTGGGTTTGTATTTCAGAGCGTGTGTGTACCTGTTACAGGAGATGGAGGTGTGATCAGTGGAGGTTTAACTGATGAGAAAGAAGATGCTGTTGTTTGGAGTTCATCTCTCTCTGAAACACAGAACAGCAGTGCTAGTAACTGAGGTAAATGTTTCTCACTCACAGATACTTCACTTCCGTTTTCTCGCTGACGCTGATGCCTTTCACACATTACTGAATCGCCAGACATGTTTGCTGACATACAAAACCACAAACTGTCAACTTCTGAGCATCTTGAAGCTCTCAGGAGGATTTAAAGTGTGAATAAAACACAACAGACGCAGCATCAAATGGCATTATGAGTATAATAAGAGTGTTAATTTACATAATAAGCTCAAGTCATCTAGAAGAAACTGTTCTCCTGACATTATTGAAGCAACTATGAGAACACGCTTTCTGTTATCAGCAAAACAGTGATTAATAAATTTCACATTTGTCCAGTAAGCAACATTGAGATGAGGATAAATGTGCAAGCTTTTTTTTATTAACGTGATGATGACGGCAGGGAAAAGAACACTGTCAACCAACATAGACAAACTATAAGGAACAAACGGAAGGCTATTTATACACACATAAAAAAAAAACTAAAATGGAAACAGCTGTGGGAATAATGAAAAACCATGGAAACCATGGGAAAACTGAAATGAAACAAGGAACAAATGGAATGTCACAAACTAAGAGTCTTATACATTTCCAAAACAGAAATATGAACATTTAATAAAGTCAGGTTCAAGATTCTTGTACATAATAAAAGGTTTTTACGGACGGGATTTTAGATTTCTCTTTTTATCACTGCATGTATCAGAAAATACTGTCAACAGACAGAAAAAAATAAATTTTCACCATGTTTTTAAGGTTAAAATGTTATATGCAACTGATATATGAACAAACCCCTCTGCAAAACACTTCAGAATATATATAGGAATAAAACCGCTAAGTTATGAAAGCAAAATAGACAAAAATCTCAAATTGAGCAGTGCATGAAAAAACAATGATTTCGCCCGTAGTGTCTTAACACTTAAGGTTTAATTTTTGGTTTGGGAAACAGGAAATGAACCCAGGAACAAATAGAATATTACAAACTCAATGGAAAATTTCAACATATGATTTCAAAAACTCAAGAGCTTAAGTGAAAACATTATGATGATAAACAGTTCATGTTTGCTGTGATCCCATGTTTGATTGTATCTGGTCTTTCACACTCTTAAAAGAAAAGGTTCTATATAGAACCCTAAAGTGTTCTATCAGGAGCTTCATAACTGTATATGGAACCTTTTAGAGGTTTCCACCAGTTTATGGATTTAATTTTAATTAATTTGGTTTTAATTCATATCTTATTTGATTTAATTGTATTAATTAACAGCTTGTAAACACACTTTATTAGTATAAAAAAATAAATAACCTGTTAAGAATGAAAGTATTATGCAATCATTTAAGACATTTCTCCTTCTACAGAACCTCTTTGGTTATTTCTAATAGCGTCTGCAGGTGTTTAGTGTTATTACCGTCTTTATGTGTGGTGATTTTCTGTAGATCATCGTGAGTTTGAGAGTCTCAGTTACTCACCTTTTCTAACGTTCATCTTCACTTCAGTGTAGGAATCTTTTGCTGTAGTTCTATCAACTCCACACTGGTACGTCCCAGAATCCCGTTCACTCAGATCTCTGAAGGTCACAGAGAAAACTGCTGCTCTTGTGTCATCAAACAGAGAGGATCTTCCAGAATGAACCCATTTATCTTTCTCTTCAGTCCTGATGAGATCAGTGCACCACTTACCCTTTTCTTTCTCTGGCATCTTTCCTTTACAAAAATACTTTGTGTTTTGGGTATAATTCTTCACATATTTGCATCTAATGTTGACTTCACCGTCTGAATATCCTGTCACACTAATGGAGCTCACGACATCTACAACAAACCAGCAGTTGGAACTAAATAAAGATACTTTCAAATTCAATTAGGCTGCAGTTTCTTTAAAATAATTTCAACATGAGCTGAACTTAAAGACTCTGTGCTGTTTTGAGTGATTTACTGTGAGTTCAGATTCTTACCAGGAATCATCAGCAGAGTGAAAGTCCAGATGATCTTCATTCTTATTCAATGATCTTCTCTGTTGTTAGTAGATTCTGAGTGTTTCTTTCCTGGTTACATGATTATCATGAAATGCTGAATGTGACAAAGAGTCACCCACTTCCTCTATTTTTGCCACACACACACACACAGAGAGAGAGAGAGAGCGATAGGTTGATATTGGAAGTGGCACACAGGCTTCATTTGACAGTGACATCTGATGGACAGTCGTGCAAACAGCAGCAGTTCCCATGATAGTTGTATGAGTGCAGGTTTATTATTGATCAGCATGTTTTATATCACACTGAGATCTCAGTTACACTACAGATTAATAATAGGTTAAACATTATAACTAACGGATATCATCATAATAACCCAGTCGATTAATCACAGCACATTAGGACAACTGTTTACAACATTTCTGAAATGTTGTGTTTAATTATGCAAATGAGCCAGTATCTAATTAAATATGCACTAATTTGCATATATTTCCAGAACAGAAATATGAACATTTGATAAAGTCAGGTTCAAGATTCTTGTTTGACTTTGTTGACATATTAAATGTTTTTAAAGAGGGGATTTTGGATTTCTCTTTTCATCACTGCATGAATCAGAAAATACTGTCAACAGACAGAAAAAAACAAAACATTCACCATGTTTTTAGGGTTAAAATGTTATATGCAACTGATATATGAACAAACACCTCTGTAAAACCCTTCAGAGTATATATAGGAATAAAACTGCTACGTTTGGTGTGTAAGAGCTGCTGAAGTGGAGAAAGAAACTCATTTTGAGAAAAAGGCCATTAAAAATATGTATTGTGACTGAAATCTATAGACGCATATAAAGTGAAATGAAATAAACACTACGAATGAACAAATGCGGATTTTGAATGTTTTATTTCCAATAGGTTGAAATAAGACATTTATGTTATGGAAGCAACTGTGGATTTGCTGATACACTAATGATCTATGTTACTTCATCTCACACATGTGTGCTATTGCTAACAGTGAACCGCAACGATTTGAGTTAAAGTCATGTTTTTAGTTATTTTGCTGTTACGCGTTAAGTGTTTGCAGTTTTATACTAAGAAATATTCCTTCTCAGTGGACTCAAATGAAATAAGTTCACAGTACTAATATCGTATGAATGCTAGTTTTTAAACTCGAACTGTTTGAAGCAATGGGAGCGGAGTTAATTTCCATGGTAGAATTACAGTAAAACACTGTAAAAATTAAGAGTTGTAAATTAACGGTTGAGAGCTGTAAATTAGCAGTACCTTACTGGCAACCCTGCTGCCAGTAAATTACTGTTATTTAACGGCACAATTTTTTACAGTGATGGAAGCAAAATAGACCAAAATCTCAAAATTGAGCAGTGCATGAAAAAAACAGCAATCATTTTGTATGTAGTGTCGTAGGACTTAAGATTTAACTTTTGCTAATTATCCAAACATACTTCAAACATATCATATTAACATAGCAACATTTATGTGTCATGTGTCTCCACTATATGAGATCAAAACCTGCTAGAAAACCCAAACCGAGAGCAAATGTCCAGATGGTGGAGGAGAGTCACGGCTCAGATGTTCAGCACCACGGACAGCAGCTGAGATTCATCACAAACACAAACACACTCCTGTTCTCATCGACATGACATTACACTTCAGAAACATCTTATAATGCTGGATAACTGACCTTCAACATGCTTTGAAACTTTAAAGTTGATTTATAAAACGGATAGATTAGGGCTGGCTGAGTGGCGTGTGAAGCCGTTGTAAAATTCTTTATAAACACACACCTGTGACCAAATTACATTAGTATCACTGCACCACTGCGTCTGTGTGTTGCTTGACAATAATTCTGTTAACTATTGCTGAAGAAATACACAGTGGAAGAATTATTATTTGTTATGAATAAATTATGTTTTTTGTTTTTTTTTGTTCCTGTGTTTACTTTGCCAGCTAGTAACATGTTAAAAAAAAAGCAATAAGCCCCATAAAGCTGTAGAGTCCAGTGAATTTAGAACCATGTAGTACTTAAATCACTACGGCTTCAGAGGGCTTATTGTTGTAATAAACTACAGTAAACTACAACACTTCGAAGGCCTTTGTTAAATAGGACGGTCTAGCCTACTGAAGACTGTTCTTGTCGCCTAGCAATTGTGACAGCTGCCGTTGACAAGAAGCAGTAATGTTTGTACTGGACTTTTAAAAAAGTTATTAAAAACAAAACAAGGTTCAAAGCCTGTCTAAATATGTTCCCCATGGTCCATTTATGTACATAATAAAGAGTATAAACTATCTTGGTAAGATATCAATCAACATTTGAACAGCTTTATATATGTTTTATATTTACATTTGTATCATTAGATACATTAGATTATTCCAGTAAGTAGAACCCAGTACTTACATTTAAAAGTGCAATCTGGCAATTTCTCTCAGGTCCAGGATTGAAAACCACTATAGAGGAAAACACAATCCGGCAGCATGACTAGGCCGGGAAAGGTAAGACAGGACAGGACAAGCGAACGATGCAGGCACATGAAACAAACATTCTCACAAAAGACAAAGAGCACAGAGAGAAATAACGAGGAGGGTAACGAGGGAGGGCAAGTGGGGTAAATGAACTAATAATCAACAAGGAGGGCAGAGTCAGGACTTGTGCTGGCACCAAAAAAACAAGAGCTCCTGGCCAATGAAAACTCACAGGCCAGACGCTCAACAAAAACACAATGAATGAGAGGATCACAGCATGCATCTGTCACCAAACTATATTACTTTATACAATTGAGCCTTAAGAGTTTTACGAGAACTACAAACATAATGCCAAAGTCAATGTGTTAAAGCCTTCAGCTCAATGATATTCTCTGCTGTGGCTCGTCAGACAGTGAAATGATTAACAGCAGTGTATTCACTGCAATCCTGATTATTCCTCAAACTGACTCTGTCAGGACAGTCCGCTTTCTTGTGGAAATTCACCACGGCGTAATTCAGATCCTCAGCAGATGAGACGACGATCTGAGAGTCACCAGTGGCTTTCTGAACTGTAGCGTAAACACAGTCAGGAGAAACAGAGGGGTTTGTGGGTAATTGTTTGTGAGAGTCTTTAATCTCCTCATAATCACATCCAGTGTGAGAAACCTGAGGAAAGAAAGAAAAATTATTAACAGCTCTGAATATCTTCATGATGGAGGCATTAGAATTTATTCTCATTATGAATAAAAATCAACATCTTATTTTATACAGTAACTGGACTGACTGATTCATGTTTTCCTGCTCCAGTCTGAGATGACGAATCACCGCCTGCCAAAACAAGAGTCTAAATTAATGACATTATATCACATTTCAACACTGGTGTCTAATGGAAATGCTTTCACACATCATCAAATATCTGTATTTTGCTCATGTCTCATTGCAG